TACGCCTGAATCAATTATCAAAGAATGAACAAGGTTAGGAATAACACCAAAAAACGCAGTAGCAAGAGAGTTACCCTTCTGTACCAAAGAACAAGATGGAGTTCAGGACAGTTTTAGAGAAAACAATTTGTACAGGTGCTCTAATTGCTCCTTGGTAAAAGAGACTGCATCCGAGTTGGTAGAAGGCTCCTGAGTCTCTTCAATGGTAGCTTGGTAGGCGCGACTGTCACGTGTGGATTTTGGCTTCCAATTTACTGGTTTACCATGAAGCTTCCAACATGTGTCCTTCGTATGCCGTGGTTTTTTGCAATGCTCGCACCACGGTTTCTTACGCCCGTTGTTGTCAGAATCAACACCTCTTAACACAAGAGCAGAGCTCTCAGGTTCCAGATTGAAACCATGTTCGGTGTTGCGCAGCATGATTTTTCTCCTTGACTCCTCACGTCTAACTTCAGGAAAAAAAAACTTCCCAAATAGAGGGCAATGGCTTTCTGCCGAGAATGCGGCCTCGAACCTCATCAAAACTCCGATTAAGGCCGGCTAAAAACATGTAAACCCTGTCATTTTCCTCTCTCTTCTTGTGGCGAGCGTAGTCGTTTGAATTCTCCCAAACGTCATCATAACACTGATCAAGTTCCTGCCATAAAGTTACTAATTCGTTATAATAAGTAGTAACATCGCGATCATTCTATTTGGATTTCCAGAGTCGAGTTTTCAACTCAAATATTTGAGAAGAATTCTCTTGGTCCGAATAAAGATCTCAAACGGCCTCCCAGACATCTTGACCAGTGGAAAGAAATAGGTGAGGTTTTCCAATGGTAGGTTCCATGGAATTGATGAGCCAAGCAATAACAAGAGAATTTTCAGACTGCCATTTTTTCAGATTAGGGTCACCAGCAACAGGTTTCGATATTTCGCCAGTTAAATGCCCAATTTTGCCTCTGCCATCAATCGCCAATTTTACGGACTGAGCCCACTCGAGATAATTGTGCCCATTGAGTTTTGTAACCGTGAGATAAAGGGCTAAATTCTGGGAATAGTAATCGGCAGATACATGTGTGGGATTGGGTGGAATATTCGTGGGAGAAATAGTGGGATTGGGCGGAACGGTTTCGGAAGTACCGGAAGAGACGGTAGGATTTCCTTGGACGCCGGTCATCGCCGACTTATACGACATCTTCAGAAAATAGAAAAAAAGCACAAGGCTCTGATACCATGAAGGTTTTTTTAAGAAGAAAAATATTCAGTCTTCTTATCTTTCAAGATAGACGATTACAAGATAAATAGTAGAGGAAGGCCACCAAATCAAGAAGTCCACAAAATCAGCAAAACTCTAGGCTAGAAAACAGGAAACAGAAACTACTAAAATCTGAAATAGTAGTTTTCGATTTTATTTTCAAAAATTGAATTTCCTAATTTATTTCCTAGAAATCCGACAGAAGTTAATTAATTAAAACTTAACTGCATGAAGGTTAGCTAATCATGTTCTCAAAAAGGGAAATATCAAACTACAAAAGAATATTATTGTTCAATGGATGCTTGAGCGTGGAATGTGGTTGGGAATTAGTCGCAGCACCAAAGCCCCCCTCCCAAGCTTCTTTTTTCCTTTGGTTTCGCTGGGGTGTCCTAGCTCCCTGCCCATTTGAGTTAAAGACTGGTTACCACAGATGCACGTAATTACTTGCGTACCAGACGGTTTTGTTTTGAATATTTGTTTTAATACAACAATCACACCAAATTAGAAGTAAAAAAATGCAATTTGTTAAAATGATAAAGTCGCTAGAGAGTTTTCATATTTATTTCATTTAAAATGGAAATTTTATATGTGCCTTCAGAAAAGGTTTTTCAAATTTCAGATTCATCTGTAGTTCCTATTTTGTTTCAGATTCACATTATTTGGATTTTATTTTTCAGAAGAATATAGAGAAAATAAACAAGATATTAGTGTAACATAATGTTCAAATTTGAAACTGATTGCCAACCTAAAAGATTTGGTAACTTTTTATTTTTTAGTTTCATCAGTTTGGCAAACTGATTTTCTTTTTCCATTATGATCTTACGAATTCTTAATTCAATTTTTAGTGATGATTGGAAAGTTTTTAATCATATCTAAATAAATGAAGAAATCTGTCTGCTTTTTGTATATGACATAAAAAAAATTGTTTTTAGAGTTATTGATTAGCTAAGAAATTTGATTTAATCCCTTTTTGACTAAAAAAAAAAGTAAAATCTGACCTTCAAGTACTTTTTTTTTTGGGAAATATTAAATGACTATAGTTTTAGTAGTGTGCCGTGCAAGATTCACCATGATTCCTTGGAATGACCAGTGACAATGTGAGCCATTATGTTTGTGTTGCCTGTGCAATATGAACAACTCTGCCCCTGTTTATTGATCGAACCATTGCAGGAAGTAAAGCAAGGCAGATTGGGAAATATTAGAGCACCTTAATATGAAATATGATGCAGCAGGTTTTTTTCTTTGTCTTTAATAGAAGGCAATCACAGATTATAAATAAAACAAAAAGGTCTAGGAACCATTATGAAGCAAAAAACTAAATAAATCCCATCAAAATCCTTTTATTAGAAAGGGTCAATAAACGATAAGAAAAGCTCTCTCAGCCGCCATTACCAACTTACCACCACTTCAGAAATTTTGCAATTTCTTTCCTTCTAAAGATACCAGGAAAGATTTTGAGACCTCTACATTCAATCCAGCAGTACCTCATCACTTTGTCTTTGAGTTCATTGAAGTCATGGATAAAGGACTAAACAGAAGGTGGGAACTGCTTAAACGGAGAGAAGTGACATTAATTGAATCATCCCAAGGTCGCATTATGATAATGTTGATGGGTCAACTTCCACTTCGAATAATCGCTGTTGTTCTGTAGTTGCTTCTCAAAGCCGCAATAGTGAGATATTAGGAATTGCTAGAATGAAAATCAGATGGCACTTAGTTATGCTAGTGTTTGAGGTGCACTTGTTTCACTCACAATGAATTATAATTTATTTCATTTCACTCATTTAACATTGATAGTTTGTAACTTGTGTCATTATACTTAATTACCATTTTGTGTCTTATCTTGTATAGTGTGATCAAGTAAAACTGAAGATTGAACGAAAAGTTGGTGGGTTCTATCTAATGTATTGATGTGATTAGTATTTGGAATAATGGATATTTTGGCCGATTTAACTTTCTATTACATGAGGCGGTTTTGTTGACAAGTGCTCCAAACTAGAAGTTTAGTCATCCAATCATTATTATCTTGACCTACAATGTTTTTGTGATAAGGTCCGTTTAGCTCTTGGTTGTTCACTTGGTTCACTTAAAATAAACCACCCCCGCTAGAATACCGACTCAACTGGAATGCTCAAGTAGCTGTGACTTCAGGAGCCTTTGGATATTGTTTGAACTACTGAAGGCCTAATGTGGGCATTGCATGTGTTGACAACTCAACTACACCACCTTGAGAGTAGTAGCAGTTATTGGATGAAAGTTCATGGCTCAAGTAGTGGCAGTTCTTGGATAAAAAGTTTTGTGTCAATTATTTCTCTGTTATTTTTATAATTTTCTTTTTCTTTTTTCAAAAAATCAAATTTATTGGGAAGTATTGATGTGACCATTGTCTACAGTAAATTTCACATATGCTTTTTCTAATATCAGGCACAATTTTTGCATATGGCGTGACAAGCAGCGGGAAGACTCACACTATGCACGTAAGCAATATTGTTTTTATGTATATAATGGTTCATTGACGTCTTCATATTAATGTACATTCAATGAGGCAACTCAAACCGCAATTAAGAACATGACTCGTGAATCCATGTTACACAAAATTTCCCAATAATTGTGGCTGGCTTTCATCAACTCTTTGAAGTTTTATCTCCGAGTTGGCTTTTGACATTGGAAGTTGCAGGTTTGAACTGTGCAAATAAGCGAAAAATCCATGAAAAAATGTGTTGATATCTCTGATGGCCTTTGACGTGTGACTAACTAACTGTATCAGTATCAATAGGCGATTTCAAGATTGAAAAGAATCTGTATATTGCCGTACAAAGAATGGTTTACAATGCTTTAGTTAAATAAGAAATACAACGAGCTAAAAAAGGAAACTACAGGCTGTGACTACAGGCTATATACTAACAGAATTTCCTAATTCTTAGTCATTGACTATCTATATTTACACGCCTATCATATCCCCTAAAATCTGGTCTTATTGAAACCGAATATCTCTTTTTCAACACTCCCCCTCAAGCTGGCTTGTAGATGTCTTCCATAGCTAGCTTGCTTCTTAAAACTTCAAACTGTCTCTTGTGTAGTCCTTTGGTAAGGATGTTTGCAGTTTGTTCAGTAGTAGAGACATATGGAATGCAAATCATACCATAGACATAAGGTGTAGTCCTTTATTAGTGTTTGTCAACTTCCACATGTTTGGTTCAGTTGTGGAGGACTGGATTATGAGCAATTGAAATGGCAGCCTTGTTATCACAGTAGACTCTTATTGGAGGAGAAACAGTGACCTTCAAATCTTTAAGGAGTCTTTTTAACCACATAGCTTCGCAAATCCCATCGACGAGTGCTCTGAACTCGACTTCTGCACTACTTCTCGCTACTACATTTTGTTTCTTGCTTCGCCACGTGACTAAGTTTCCTCCAACGAAGGTGCAATATCCTGAGGTAAATCGTCTATCAACTGTACTGCCTGCCCAATCAGCATCTGTGTACACCTCCACTTGCAAATGACCTTGTTTCTTGAACATAAGTCCTTTACCTGGTGAGCCCTTTAAGTACCTCAAAATCCTGTACACTGCTTCAAAGTGTTCCTGTCCAGGAGAGTGCATGAGCTCATGAGCTGACTCATCATACTGACTGCAAATGCTATATTTGGGCGTGTGTGAGATAAGTAAATTAGTCTTCCCACCAATCTCTGATATCTTTCACGATCAACCATATTCTCGGGTTTGGCAGCTTCTAACTTCAGGTTGACTTCAATTGGAGTGTCAGCAGCTTTACACCCGAGTAGTCCTGTCTCATTAAGCAAATCAAGTACATATTTTCGTTGATTCACGAAAATTCTCTCTCTTGACCTGCCAAATTCCATTCCAAGGAAGTATTTTAATGCTCCCAGATCTTTGACTTCAAAATCTTTAGCAAGTTTCTTCTTCAGTCTAGTCAACTCTTCAATGTTATCACCTATCAAAATTATATCATCCACATACACAATTAAAACGGCAATTTTCCCTTCCTCACTGTGTTTGTAGAACATGGTATGGTCTGCCTGACTCCGATGATACCTATGACTCTTCATAGCCTTTCCAAAGCGTTCAAACCACGCTCTTGGAGACTGTTTCAAACCGTACAGGGATTTTTTGAGTTTACAGACTTTGCTTTGACCGTGTTTTCCTTCGAACCCAGGTGGCAAGCTTATAAACACTTCTTCCAAGTCTCCATTTAAAAAGGCATTTTTTTATGTCCAACTAATGTAATGGCCAGTTAGAATTGACTGCCAATGACAATAAGACTCGGATAGAATTTATTTTTGCTACAGGAGCAAACGTCTCTAAGTAATCAATGCCATACGTTTGCGTAAAACCTTTCGCCACAAGTCTTGCCTTGTACCTTTCGACACTACCATCAGCTTTACACTTAATAGTGAAAACCCATTTACACCCAGCAGTTTTCTTTCCTTTGGGCAAGTCAACTATCTCCCACGTTCCACTCCTTTTAAGAGCATTCGTCTCCTCTAACATTGCTGATTTTTAATTCGGATCATCTAGTGCTTCCTGAATGTTTCTTGGAACAAACAAGTGAGAAATATTTGAAGTAAAGGCCCTATGTATATGGGAAAGTTTATCATAAGACAAGTATTTGGCAATGGGATGCTGGGTACAGGTTCGGGTTCTTTTTCTAATAGTTGTTGGTATATCAAGGTCTACAGGAACTTGGCTAGGTGACTCTGTACAATCAGAAATAGTAGGGACAACTGCAGACAAGTTAGGATTTAGAGTACCTTGAGTGTTCAGGGAGTCATTGCTCGGGACCTCTAATTGGCTTTGCTCAAGTACAAGAGTAGGCTCTCTACTCTTCTTATGAGTCTTTTTCCTGTTATAAACCAAAAGCTCAGGATTCGGTTTTTTTGGAACCATTGGTAGGATTTCTCCCCCTGTTGGAGATATAGTAAGGCTCGGCAGATTAGGACTAGGAGGCCCCGGGTTTCCTAATTCTAGAACATCATTTCCCTGTTTAAAAAGATCAGTGTTCGGAGTAATAAGTGTGAGACAATAGTTTTAGGTAAGGAAATATTAGTAGAAATCTCCCAAAAGTTTTCTTCACTCTCTGTCCCCCTGAAGAAAAGTTTTCTGAAAATAAGGATGATTTTCTAGAAAAAAGACATCCATACTGATAAACATTTTTTTTGTTTTCGGATTGAAGCATCTGTACCCCTTTTTATTCGGGGCATACCCAACAAATACACATTTTTCAGCCCGAGGATCCAATTTAGACCGAAGTCTACTAGGTCAATGGACAAAGACAGTGCACCCAAATACTTTCAAAGGCAGGTTGGAATAAATCCGAGTTTAAGGAAAAGATTTTTTAAGGCTTTCAAGGGGTGTAAAACAGTTCAGAACACGAGTAAGCATCCCGTTAATCAAATATGATGCTGTTAACTAGGAACATTCATTGAAAACATGATGGCACGAGAAACTTCAAGTAAATGTTTATTCTTTCTTTCAGCAATTCCGTTTTGTTGAGGCGTGTCAACACAAGTGGATTGGTGAAAAATTCATTTTTCTGTTAAAAAACTTCCTAAAACTTCATTAAAGTATTCGGTGTCGTTATCAGTATGAAGAATGCCAATTTTTGTTTGAAATTGATTTTCGATCAACATATAAAAATCCTTGAATAATTTTCAACCTCAGATTTTTCATTCATTAAATACACCCAACACAAACGTGTATGATCATCAATAAAAGTCAAACCATTTTTTTCCAGAAAGAGTTGTGATCCTAGAAGGGCCCCAAACATCACTATGGATTAAATAAAATGGTTTTGATGTTTGGTAAGGTTTGGGAGAATACGTAGTACGATGACTTTTTGATAAAAAAAAAAACAATTCTCACAATAAAAAGATGAACAATCCAATCCTTTAAACAAAGTAAGAAATAATTTTTTAAGATAAGGGAAACTAGGATGCCCTAGTCTAAAATGCCATAGCATTATTTGTTCTCTAACAGGGATAGAACGAAAACTATTCAGACCTTGAGCCTTTTTATTATTTGAAATATCATCTTCAAAATAATAGAGACCATCTATCATCTTAGCACTACCAATCGTCTTCCCCAAGCTCTGGTCCTGAAATTCACAATAGGATTCAAAAAAGATAACACGGCAATTAGAGTCTTTGGACAATTTACTAACTGGTAAAAGGTTACAAGCAAGCTTAGGGACATAAAGGACAGACTTGAGATCAATAATTTTTGAAAGTTTGACCAAACCTTTGCCTACAATAGGAGAATAAGAACCATCGGCTATTCTGATTTTTTCAGAGCTAGAACAGGGTGAATAAGTTTGAAATAAATGAGAAAAACTTGTCATATGGTCAGAAGCCCCTGAATCAAAGATCCATGGGGTAACAATGGAATTTGAACTACAAGATAAGGCCTTCGGGTTGTTACCTTTTTGAGCAAGAGAAGCATTGGGAGTACCAGATGAGGAATTGAATTTCAGCAATTTTAGAAGATGATCCATTTGTTCTTTGCTGAAGGGAAGCGCCTCGGCTTCATAAGTTGATGGGGCTCGGTTGAATCTGCCTTCCTGGTTGAATCTCCCTTCCTGCTTACTCTTCCAATTCGCTGGTTTACCATGAATTTTCCAGCAGGTTTCACGGGTATGGCGAGGCTTGTTGCAGTGGTTACACCAAAGGCGGGGCTTTTCATCATGTTTCTTGCTAATATTCGCTTCAGATGCGACCAGGGCAGAGGTCTCAACAGCATCATTTGATAACTTTTTTCCAAGCATGACCAGCCTGCGACTTTCCTCAATTCGAACCTCGGAGAAGACTTCACCGATTAAAGGCAGGGGCTGTCGTCCAATTATTCTGCCTCTCACTTCATCAAACTCAACATTGAGTCCAATGAGAAACTTGAAGATGCGGTTGTCTTCCACCTTTTTGTACTGGTTGCAATCTTCAGACGATTTCCACTCATAATCGCTGAACAAATCAAGGTCCTACCACAAACGTTTTAGAGAGTTGAAATATTTTGTAACACTGTTATCTCCTTGACGGATCTCTCCAAGTTTCAGCGTTAGTTAATAAAGTTTGAGACTGATTTCCCAGGTCTGAATACATCTAGTTGACATTGTCCCAGAGTTCTTTTGCTGTGTGGTAACACATATAATTAGAACTAATGTCCTCCTCCATAGAATTCACCAACCAGGTCATCACCATCGAATTCTTTGCATCCCAGGTCGAGTCGGATGGATCTTCAGGTTTCGGTTCCTTCTTTTCTCCCGTCAGGTAGCTGATTTTGCCTCTGCCTCGGATGTACATCCGCATGGACTGGACCAGCAAAGGAAGTTTTCACCGTTCAGCCAAATTATGGTAATCTGGACCGAGTGTGTCTCAGAGTTTTGGACTTGGGACTCAGAGGTCTTGGTCTTGGTCATCAGACATAGTGATTAGGATTGTTTGGAAGAGAAAAAAAAAAAAAAGACGGCTAGGGGGTCTTTTTTTTTTCCAGAAGAATCGGTAAGAGGCTCTGATACCAAATAGGCGATTTCAAGATTGAAAAGAATCTGTATATTGCCGTACAAAGAATGGTTTACAATGCTTTAGTTAAATAGGAAATACAAGGAGCTAAAAAAGGAAACTACAGGCTGTATACTAACAGAATTTCCTAATTCTTAGTCATTGACTATCTATATTTACACGCCTATCATATCCCCTAAAATTTGGTCTTATTGAAACCGAATATCTCTTTTTCAACAGTATCCAAAGTTCCCTTTTTGCCAATCTTTAACGTTTAATGAAATCTCTAATGTGATTGAGGTTGAACTAGATTTTCTGAATCAGTGTTCATGTGGTAAAATGGCAGATTTTAATTAATAGACTTTGATATCATATTTGTTCAGTATATATCACAATCACACTAGAAAATCTGAATTGATTTCACTTAAGCAATATATCACAAGTACCTCGAAACCTTGGTTTTAACAAAGGAAATGTCAGTCTTAACTGTAAAATATGTCAGCATCTTAAATAACCACTGGAATCATTTTTGTTTTTTCTTCTTAAAAAAATTGTATACCCAGAAATCAGGGCTGGCTGATTAGCATATAAAGAGAAACAAATGGAAGGCATATCCGATGCATAGGACGTGAAGGATCAGAAATTCAATTTTAAAATAAATTAAATAACTGATAATGAGAATTGATCATGGGAATCCCATAGCAACAAAGACTGGTTTGTCTTTAGTAATGAAAACTGAAGACAATGTCATAGCCATCATAAATTCTTTTTCTACCATGCACCCGCCACCCGCAGCAAGTTTGTGCAAAGCAAATATTGATATCTACACTACAAAGAGAAATAAAGGGATAGACCTTGCAAAAGGAAATGAAAGGATTAGAAATTTAATGAATAATGAAACTGACTGTTGCTTGTATTGTAAGGTCAAAATGAAAAAAAAAAAAAAAGAAACTGGCTCATTCCAATTCCTGCTAGACCTTTGCCTAAACGGGGAAAGATGGACTTTTATTGGCTATGGTATATAACTTTTTCTCTTTTTTAAAAGAACAGCAAATTCAGATGATTGTCCAATCAATTGACATGCATAGTTTTATTTCCCTATAGAAGAGTTAGCTCCGCCGCGTAAGATAATGCTTGCCCAAGAGGGAAAATCCGCTTTTTGATCATAGGAGCAAACAGCCACAAGAAGACATCTCAAAAAACGCATCAGAGCTTTGCCTTAAAGGATTTTTGTCAATTCACTGGGTAATGAATTTGAATTTTACGAAGCCTACGAATTCCTAACTGCCAACAAATCGTAGATCATATCTTTTGTAGCCAGTGAGTTTATGGACTTCAGGTGGAAAATTGATTAGTCGTGGGGCTCAGAATGCCAAATGATGCGAAAAGTTTCATTCTTTGCCGTCATTTTCTTATAGCATTTGGCACGGGGCAGCAGAAAATATTAGCTTTTTGTTAAGGTTATCTTCTGCCTTACCTTACTGATGGCCACAGTTTTTAAACTGTCAATGTAGACCTTTTTTCCAGGTGCTAAATTTGTATTCCAAAATTTTACGAGGTGTGATATTTTAGGTTTAGCTTGAACAAATCAATACTTCAACATCTATATAAGCTTTTATTTCCCTATGGGCAACATAATGACAAATACTAAACCATGATGAGTTGTATGTTTTATAGTGACAAGTGACAAATCAAGCTGTTTGTTTGGGTACTAAAATGTTTTTGTTATGCTTATGCTGGTTATACACATGACAGGGTGATCAGAGGTCCCCCGGTATTATACCACTGGCTGTAAAGGATGCTTTCAGTATTATTCAAGAGGTACTTTATATGACATAGCCTACAGTCTAACCTCTGTTAAAGATTATGCTTGTTAAACTGCTTGTTCAAATGTTTATCTACACGCCAGACTCCAAACCGGGAATTCCTCCTCCGTGTCTCATATTTGGAAATCTATAATGAGGTGAGCTTCTGGCAATTCTCTTCAGCTATCTAATTGATGATGCTTCCACTTTTGTGCTTCAGATTTATAGTAACGTGTTAATGTTCTTGTTTCATACATGGTAATGTTCTAGTCCTAACTTTCAAGTTTTTGAGCAGCTACTATTTACTAATTTTTTTTAAGTGTATTATGATTGATAGATCGTTATTTGTGAAATGCATTTTGATAATGTGGGCTGTAAACTTTTGATGCTATACACAAGTTGTTTGTTACATTCATAGCGAATGCTTCGTATGGTAGGAATGAAGGATGAGGGAAGGAGAGAAGAGAGGAGGGATGGAACAAGACGTCCTTACCCTTATTTTAAAAGACATCCTTACCCTTATTTTAATGTTTTAAGTATGTGTGAGGCTATATTAGTAAAATAATAATAGCATCTATTTACTTCCCTTACATCCAACCAAACAAAAGGAGAAATAAACACCATCCCTTCCCTAGGGATGCCTCATCCATCCCTCCCCCTTTTCCTTCCATCCAATTTTCCATCCCTCCTACTTAACGAAGCATAAGTCAGCATCTTTGCTTTCTGTGGCTATTGCTACCTAGCTTTAATACCAGTCTTTATTAGTCGTTTCTGGTAGCTGGAAGTAGTTTGCAGTTTATGCACATGAAATTCAGTCTTCCAGGCATCTGGAAGTATTTTGCATTTTAGTTTTCCGTTGATAAAGTAGCCCCTGTCAGTGAGATTACTATTGTTTAAGGTTGCTTTCCATTTTCAGGTTGTTAATGACTTGTTGAATCCAGCAGGACAGAATTTAAGAATCAGAGAGGACGCTCAGGTACTTGCCTATTGCTTTTCTTATCCTTTGCCTTCAATACATTATCCATGAATTTGGATTACATTCATCACGAGTTTAGGCATCCAACTTGTACATTGTTTTCTCTAACATTTGAAATGTTTTTCTATTGTACATTGAATTAATTTAAATTAGATTGCAACTGAATGGTGAAGTCATCGTATTTAACTTAAATCTAATACGATTCAACCAATCAAATTGCTTGTTCCTTTTCTTGATTATTACGTGCTGTTAATTTAAAAGAAACCTAATACTCTAATGCTACGTTTGGTGTGCAGGAATGGAATGGAATGGAATGTCCATTCCAACCATTCGTTTGCTTGGTGTGCAGAAATGGAATGAAAATCCATTCCAGGGAATGAAAATCCATTCCATTACTAAACCTATGGAATGGCCATTCCATTCCATAGTAAGATTAAATATTTTTGTAATATTCCCAATAAGCCCTTCATCACATTCCAATAAGGCAAAAATATTTTGCATAGACCAAAAATCTTTCACATTCCATTTTTCACTTTTCCCGAGCTTCTTTATTAGACGTGGTAAATGTTTTTCACCTTCCCTCTCTTCTGAATATACCCAGAACTACCATTGACAAAAAGTTACAGGACCTTCAACCATATTATGTATATATATATTTATATATTATTGAGATTGAATATATATATATATATATATATATATATATATATATTTTAGCCTTTACATCAGCTTCTTAGGTTAAGTATTCAACCCGTTTTTGAATAAAATTGTACTGACAAAATACTAATTAGATTGATTTTATTAAAAAATAATGAAAAGGGTATTTTTGAGAAAAATCATTCCATTACATATTTAATGATAGTCAACCAAACAATAAAATGGTAATAATCATTCCATTCCATAACGATTCACCGTGTCACACCAAACATTAGAATGGTAATATTCATTCCATTCCATTCTCATTCTCATTCCATTCCAAGTTGCATTCCATTCCATTCCTGCACACCAAACGTAGCATAATAGTAAATAAAAGTCGTCTGTCAAGACCTTCCAATACCAAGTCTACAAAGCAAGTGGATGAACTTGTTGGAGACTACAATAGAAAATTTGTTCATTGGGCATAAATGTATAGACACAAGCTTCCGTGTCTCTCTTATGAGGTTGTAATAGAGAATTTGTTCATTGCTGATCTGGAGATACAATGAATGTATTTGCTCCTAGGTGCTGTTCAGAAAATTTTGAAGCAAGCTCCAATAACAACATGAATAATCACGGACAAGTTCTAAGGTTCTCAAAAGTCTCTTGCTTACTAAAGGTTTAAAGGAAAATAAAATCTCTTACAAATACATACTTTAAATCCCTCAATAATGTTTGTGTGTGTTTTAACAACCCTAAGATCTTACTGTAAATCCCTCAATAATGTGTGTGTGTTTTAAAGACACTAAGATCTTTTATGTTGGGGTTGGAATTCTTTTTTCAAGACTAGAATGAATTTGGAAATATTTTGATGTGTTTTGGATGAATTAGAAACAATTTTGGATTCTACGTTTGTTTCTTTCTCCAAGAGAAGTGAGCATTGGTGCTTGGCCTTTGATCATTGATACATTTTGGACAATTAAGTATCAGTCTTGAAGTTTGGCCATTGGTGTTCAACTTTCTGCTTGATAATATTGTATGTAGGCTTATGCTGCAGTCCATATGAAAATTAAGTGAACTATATATCATTGAATAGTTTATCAAGTCTATCTTCTGGGGATACAAGGATCATCGCAAGATTCTTTTAGTATTTTACTTTTAAAAATTATACTTTCTCACCTTTTGAATTCCACGACTTAGTTCTTGGATTTTTAATCTCCTTTATCTATTTCGATTCCCCTTTAATAAATAAGCTCAAAACTACAAACATATGTTGCAATGTTGTCTCCTGGAATAAGCGACTAATTCCTTGACTATATTTACAAGTTTTACAGTTAATAATCCTTCTATCCCATTCTAATAATGGCTACAACATTTTCTTCTAAATATTTATGAAGACTTTTCCCTGCTCCATTTCTCTATATGTCTTTTTCCAGTGTTCATATCCTGTATTTTCAATTTCCCTAACTTTCTATCGTATCCTCTTAGTCTTTGCCTCTTTGGTAGGCATGTTATATTAATTCTCCTAATCATTGTGTTTAACAGCTCCATGCCTTTACTTGTTAGTGTGCTTATTTTTCCATGTCCCTTAATCTAAGCCTACCTTGACTTCTTTATCCGTGCTCGTTTAGAGTAGCATGTGAATATCACCCATTTTTCACTGCATATGGGCAGAATTTGATATTCCTTCGCTCTTTGTTCAAAGCATTTTGACGTTATACAATGTGGCGCATAAGGGAATGCCTTAAATTTTGTTAAATGTTTCCATGATTCATGTTCATAGGGGTCTACCAAATACTATCTGCCGAAATGTCAGGTTTTTAACGTATGTACGTAACCAATTCTTTTTTTCCCTGGATTTTAAACTGACCATGTAAGGATAGGATACCAGGCACAATGTGGGATAAGTTATACCAATAGAAACTAAACAACCAAATGTAACTAAGAACGTTAAGAGAGGTACCTTGTAGAATGTGATAGAATCTTCATTGAGGAACTCTAGTCATTCTTTATAGCTATCCATATTGTGTAACTTAGTTTACTATATGTTATTTATTGCATGGATATTGGTTGCAGGGAACCTTTGTTGAGGGAATAAAGGAGGAAGTTGTTTTATCCCCTGCTCATGCCCTTTCCCTTATTGCAGCCGGAGAAGGTAAAATTTGCTGTCATTTTTCATATGTGCTGCAGTTTTGTGGCATGCTACCTCTCCTCCAACAGCATGTTGCACCATCATTTTCCTTCTTCTCTTTTCTAGATCCTTCATAGCTTCAACTAATGCAGACCCATTTTACTTTATGCAGTAACTGGTCTTTGTTGCACATCCATTTTTAATTCTACTTGTTTCATGTCATGCATCCATCTCTTCTAAACGAAGAACTTTTGGCCAATACAAGTATCAAATTTGTGATAAATAAAAAAATAAAAAATTGCTCTTTTTTCTTTTCCTTGAGGGAAAAGATTTGGTCAAATTTGAACCTGCATGAATCGTGGATTATTTAATCATAAATGTGAAGAACTTTTAGTCACTTTTTGAACTTTTGTATTTGTGAATGCTTATCTCATAGAAACTGATTCTATAAATTCATTTTACAGACTTTCAAAACCCAAAAGTAATGCTTTATTCTTTTGTTAGGGTCGTTGGATAGATTATCCTTAAAATATCTTGTATGCTGATTATATGGGAGTAAATCTGCTTAATGTCTCTTTTTGTCACTGTTACTTGATTTATCTCTGAACTCTGAGAAAATATTACTTGCTGACAACAGAGCACAGGCACGTTGGTTCCACTAATTTCAATTTACTCAGCAGCAGAAGTCACACGATATTCACACTGGTACTTTAATTGATTTCATATTTCAGTTGCTGTTCTTATGGCTACTTTATAATTTTGTTTATTGTGTCCAGAATAGATGGCTTTTTCCATGTTGACATACAGATGCATATGACTTCATGACTGATAACACATCAACATGTATTGACACACACACTAATGTAGGATAGCATATTTAATTGATACTAAAGCTATATGTAATGTTGTCTGAATTTATTCGTATATGGATGTAAACCTTACTCATTCTGGGAGAAATAGCCAATGATTAGTTCAGCTGAATCTTCTTGCATATTGAATGGAAGGCCTTTCCTCCATACTACTGTGTTAGGGTAGTATTCTGCCGAGATTTCCGCTGGATTTGTTGTTTTCGTGGACGCAGGACGAGATGTCCATTTTATATGGCCTCTCCACAGGTCAATGGAATTATACTGCTCAAATGGGTAACTGTATGATCCATTTCTGCTCGGGGAATAAAAATTGTTGGTCTTGCATTTCTGGAATGAACCAACAATGATCACTAGCTTAAAAACTTGAGATTCTCAATTCGTCTCTTTCTCACTGCAACCTTAACAAGATTCAGATGTGCTAGTTCTTTTAATACCAATAATTTCCAGCCTCAATGAACTGTTCCGTTCATCCAATTAAAATGGTTTAGGCTTCGTTTGGTAAGAGTGAAGAGAGGAGGGATGGAGCTAGGCTCCACCATAGAGTTGAAGGGAAGGAAAGGATGGAGGGACGAGCCATCCCTCCTGGCCCACCATTTTGCTTCCAACCAAGAAAAGGGAGGAAGAGGAGAGAGAAAAATAAAGGGTTAGATAAATTTGAAAAAATATCCTTACCCTCATTTTATGGTTTTAATTTATATATTAGGGCAGATTATATTAATAAAACAATAATAGCTATACAAGGAAAAGAATAAAAAATATTCCTACAAATCTATTCCTAATTTGAAGGCTAAAGCAATCAATCTATCCTATTTTACTGCAATCAATTTGCCCTACAATCTTGTTCTAATTTACAATAGTCAGAAATCAATCAAATCCAAGGGAAATAATATATATCTTCCAACACTCCCCCTCAAGCTGGAGCATAGATGTCTCGAATGCCCAGCTTGTCAAGTGCCAAATTGAAAGTTGTACTTGACACTCCCTTTGTCAAAAAATCTGCAAGCTGATGTTCCGTCTTCACAAATGGAGTGCAAATTAATCCACCTATCAACTTCTCCTTGATAGAGTGTCTATCCACTTCAACATGTTTGGTACGATTATGCTAAACTGGATTGTGAGCAATGCTAATAGCAGCTTTGTTATCACAGGAAAGATTTATTGGATCCCTAGAATTAAAGCCCAGTTCCTTTAACAAAGCCTTCAGCCACAACATCTCGCATATACCATGAGCCATGGCTCTAAATTCTGTTTCAGCACTGGATCTGGCTCCAACAGATTGTTTCTTACTACGCCATGTGACTAGATTCCCTCCCACAAAGGTGCAGTATCCTGAAGCTGATCTTCTATCTATTACACATCCTGCCCGATCAGCATCCACTTCAAGATGACCATGGTTGGAGACTAGCAGACCTTTCCCAGGAGCTGATTTTAATACCTGAGAATCCTGTGTACAACCAACATGTGTGTTTTGTAAGGAGCATGCATGAACTGACTTATTACACTCACTGCATAGGCTATGTCAAGGTGAGTATGTGCCAAATATATTAGCTTTCCAACCAACCTTTGGTATCTCACTCTGTCCATAGGTGTATCATTTGTGCATTCACCTAACCTGTGATTTTGTTCAATTGGAAGTATCAACAGGTTTGCAAGCCAACATTCCAGTCTCAACCAATAAGTCTAAGACATATTTTCGTTGGGAAACAAAGATCCCCTTCTTTAACCTAGTAACTTCAATACCCAAAAAATATCGTTAAGACCCAAGGTCTTTGATCTCAAATTCTTTTGCTAGATATGCTTTCAGCTTACCCATCTCCTCACCATCACTACCAGTCATCACAATATCATCCACGTACACGATTAAGGCAGTAATCTTACTACCAAGTGAATGTTTGAGAAAGGGAGTGTGATCCGACTGGCTCTGGTGGTATCCATATTTTTTCATGGCCAAAGTAAACTTGCCAAACCAAGCTCTAGGTGACTGCTTGAGTCCATACAAGGATTTCCTCAATCTGCATGCCTTACCTCTTTTAGAGGAATTAACAAAGCCTGGAGGAAAGTCCATGTATACTTCTTTCTCTAGATCGTTCTTCACGTCAAACTGCTGAAGTGGGCACTCTAAATTTGCAGCAAAGGATAAGAGGACCGTTATTTTATTTATCTTCGCCACCGGTGCAAATGTTTCCTGATAATCTATCCCATAGGTTTGACTATATCCTTTAGCTACCAATCTTGCTTTGAACCTCTCCACTGAACCATCTACCTTATGCTTCACTGTGAATACCCATTTGCAACCAAGTGTCTTCTTTCCCTTTGGTAGCTCAACAAGTTCCCATGTAGAATTTTTCTGTAAAGATTCCATTTTTTCAATCATGGCAGCTTTCCACTTAGGGTTGTCAAGAGCTTCCTGTAACTTATTAGGGATATACACGGATGATAACTGGTTTGCAAATATTTTATTAGATGAAGATAAACGATGTGAAGACACATATGAGAGATGGGATATTTTACAACTGAAAAACCAAAACGAGAGGGCAGCTTTCTTTCTCGAGTGGGATAACGTGCCTGATTCTCAATAACTAATTCAGTAGCATTATGTGGTTGATCAAGTTGATCAATAGGTAAATGAGTTGACTCATTAATAGAAGTATCAATAAAGAGTTTAGAGGAAGGAACTACCTTAGGATTACCAGTCACAAGAGCGCTTAATTGGTCATTGGGTCCATCAAGAGGTGGCTGAGTTGTTTGTGTCTTCTCCCTTCTTGAGTATACAAATCTGTGTGGCTCAAGGAATTTCTTTGAAGTCGGTGCAGAATTTCCAGGAGATTCCTTCGAAATCGATGCAGAAGTTTCAATAGACGATGATACACTGGTTAATGGTAGTGGCAACACCTCCCTAGACTTATCTTCATTTCCCAAATTCTCCTCCTGAAGAGAAGCATTTGAATCTCCCCCTGAATAATAAGCTTGATTTTCAACAAAAGTAACGTCCATGGAAACAATCATCTTTGCTGAAGGAGGGTGATAGCATTTGTATCCCTTTTGTGTGGCAGAATACCCCAATAAAATACACCATCGCACTTCTTTTCCTTCCAAGTTTTAATAAAAAATTTGTGTCTTTCTCAATACCATGTAGAAATTCTCTCTATAAAATATTTTGCCTCATCAAATCTGTTCCTTTTTTTTTATTTATTTTTTTGATAAGTAAAATTTATAGAAAGCACGCAAAAGGGGAGCGAAGCCCAAAGATACAAAAAGGCTAAAAAACAGCCTCAAGCCTTCAAAGAGGCTAAAAAGAAAACAATCTCCTCAATAGAACGATAATCTCTCCCTGAAACCCAACAAAAAAGAGTGGACAAAAAAGAGTGGAAATAATGGAGAACTTAAGCATAGAAATAGGTTTCTCCTTTCCATCAAAATATCTCCTATTTCTCTCAAGCCAGATGCACCACCAAATACAGAGAGGCGTAACCCTCCAAGCATCCTGAATGAGAGCCCCAACTAAGAAGCCTCTCCACGCCTCAATCAAACCTCTAGAGGAGTAAGGCATAACCCAAGGAACCCCAAACACACCTAGCATCAAATCCCAACAAGCTCTAGCCATGTTGCAATGCAACAGAAGGTGATCAACTGTCTCCTCATCACAAAAGCACATGTAACAACGATTGACCGCCACCTGATTCCTCCTCTTCAGATTATCCTGGGTTAAAATCCTACCCAAGACAGAAATCTAAGCAAAGAAGGCCACCTTAAGAGGAGCCTTGGAGTGCCAAATAGATTTCCAAGGGAAAGGACCACCACCACCATCCGTAAGACACCTAAAGAAGGACCTCACCTCGAACCAACCCTGGGCATTAGGATTCCAAAGCCAACAATCAGATTCCCCATGAGAGATCACCTGTCGATACAGCAACTCCAGAAAACGAGTGACCTCCTCAATCTCCCAATCCTGAAAGTGCCTCTGAAACTGAACATCCCGAGACAATCTTCCGTTATCAAGATGATAACAGTCAACTACCATGGCCTGCCTACAGAAGCAATCCTGAACAGTTGAGGGAAAGAAAGAGCCAGGGGAATATCCCCACACCAAGCATCCTTCCAAAATCTAATCCTCCTACCATCCCTAATCCGAAAACGAATATGTTTGCTAAAATCATCCCACCCCTTCCGAATGACAGTCCAAACCCCCACCTCCTAGGACCACGCACCTCAAGAGCGCTTCACCCACCACTACTCTCCCTAAATTTGCTCGCAATAACTCTCCTCCAAAGCCAATGCCTCTCAACCCCAAACCTCCAAAGCCATTTCCCAAGGAGAGCCTTATTGAAAGGCAACAACCTTCTAATACCTAATCCTCCACTCTGAATAGGACGGCACACTTGCTCCCATCGAACCAGATGATACTTGAACTCCTCATCCCCCCCCCCCCCCCCCCCCCCAACAAAAGAAAATTGTGCTGCAATCTTGCAATTCTCTCAGCCACAGAAGAAGGAATCTGAAAGAGAGAAGAAATAGGTGGGGAGGCAAGAAAGGGTGCTCTTAATAAGAGTGACCCGTCCCCCCTTGGAGAGGAATTTCTTCTTCCAACCTGCCAGCCTCTTCTCAAACCTATCTACAACTGGATCCCAGCTCCCCACACATCTCAATCCTAAATAAGAAATAGGGAAAGATCTAGTGCGACATCCAAGAATTTGAGCAACCCTCTCAATCTCAGGAACATCCCCAACCAGCACAAGAACACTCTTGCTGACATTCACCTTAAGCCCCGAGACAACTTGGAACCAAACCAAAACGCATCTCAAATGTCTCAATGGGGACTCATCCTCATCACAAAGA